TCAGCTTGAGAAATGCTGATTGTGTTCTTCCCTTTTGGTTTTCTATCTCCAACTCTTTGCACATGTCATCATAATACTTTGTCTTCTCTAGTGGCCCTTGGAAATCTTCTGTTCAGCTCTTTTAGTTCATCATTTCTTCCTTTTGCTTTAGCTACTCGATGTTCAAGAGCAAGTTTCACAGTCTCTTCTGACATCCATTTAGGTCTTTTCTTTCTCTACTGTCTTTTTAATGACTTCTTGCTTGCTTCATATATGATGTCCTTGTTGTCATTCCACAACTCGTCTGGCTTTGGTCATTATATGTTCAACGTGTCAAATCTGTTCTTGAAATGGTCTCTAAATTCAGGTGGGATAGACTCAAGGTCGTACTTTGGCTCTCATGGACTTGTTCTAATTTTCTTCTATTTCGTCTTGAACCTGCACTTAAGTAATTGAGGGTCTGATCCTCAGTCGGCCCCTGGCCTTGTTCTGACTGATGATATTGAGCTTTTCAATGGTCTCTTTCCACACATGTAGTGGATTTGATTCCTGTGTATTCCTTCTGGTGAGGTTCATGTGTATAGTTGCCGTTTATGTTGGTGAAAAAAGGTATTTGCAATGAAGAAGTCATCAGTCTTGCAAAATTCTATCTCCGGCATTGCTTCTATCGCTATCATATTTTCCAACTACTGATCCTTCTTCTTTGTTTCCTACTTTTGCATTCCAATCACCAGTTATTATCAGTGCATCCTGATTACATGTTCGATCAATTTCAGACTGCAGAAGTTGGTAAAAATCTTCAATGTCTTCATTTTTAGCCTTAGTGGTTGGCGTGTAAATTTGAATAATAGTCGTATTAACTGGTCTTTCTTGTAGGCATATGGATATTCTTCTGTCACTGACAGTGTTATACTTCAGGATAGATCTTGAATATCCTTTTTGACGATGAATGCAACACCATTCCTCTTCAAATTGTCATTCTCGGCATAGTAGACCATATGATTGTCACATTCAAAATGGCCAATACCAGTCCATTTCAGCTCACTAATGCCTGGGATATCAATGGTTAGGCGCTCCATTTCATTTTTGAAGATTTCCAATTGTCCTAGATTCATACTTTATACATTCCACATTCCGATTATTAATGGATGTTTGCAGCTTTTTCTTCTCATTTTGAGTCGTGCCACATCAGCAAATGAAGGTCCTTGAAGCTTGGCTCCATCCACATCATTAAGGTCGACTCTATTTTGAGGAGGCAGCTCTTCCCCAGTCATCTTTTGAGTGCCTTCAAAACTGAGGGGCTCATCTTCTGGCACTATATCAGACAATGTTTTGCTGCTATCATAAGGTTTTCACTGGCTAATTCTTTTCAGAAGTAGACTTCCGGGTCCTTCTTCCTAGTCTGTCTGGGTCTGGAAGCTCAGCTGAAACTTGTCTGCCATGCGTGTCCCTGCTGGTATTTGAACACCGATGGCATAGCTTCCAGCATCACAGCAACACACAAGCCCCTACACTACAACAAACTGACAGACTCGTGGGAGCTTTATAAACTATATTATGAAAAATTGGCTCAATAGCTAGATATTCTCCGAGACCATGGTCCCAAGCCCTCAGCCAAGTAATTAAGTGTCTGAGGGAGTTTGAATGTGTCTATGGAGCTTCCATGACCTTGCCTTGGTCAAGTTGTGCTGGCTTCCCCAGTATTGTGTACTGTCTTACCCTTCACCAAAGTTACCAGTTATCTGTAGTCTGTTTAATGTTTTACCGTTCCACCCCTCCTCTCCCTCATAACCATCAAAGCTGGTTTCTTTTTGGGCGTGATTTGATTTCTTGACTGCTTCCATGAGTGTTGATTGTGGGTCCAAGTAAAAGGAAATCCTTGGCAACTTCAATCTTGTCTGTGTTTATCATGATGTTGCTTATTGTTCCAGTTGTGATTTTTTTTTAAATTTATTGTGCTTTAGGTGAAAGTTTACAGCTCAAGTTAATTTCTCATACAAAAATTTATACACATATGGTTATGTAACCGTAGTTATAATCCCTGTAATGTGACAGCACACTCCCCCTTTCCACCCTGGATTTCCCGTGTCCTTTCAACCAGCTCCTATCACTTTCTGCCTTCTCATCCCACCTCTGCACAGGAGCTGCCCATTTAGTCTTGTGTATCTGCTTGAACTAAGAAGCACACTCTTCACAAGTATTATTTTATGTTTTATGGTCCAATCTAATCCTTGTCTGAAGAGTTGGCTTCGAGAATGGTTTTTGTTCTGGTTAACAGAGTGTCTGGCGGCCATGTCTTTGAAGGTTCCTCTAGTCTCAGTCAGACTATTAAGTCTGGTCTTGTTACATGAATTTGAGTTCTGCACCATACTTTTCTCGTGCTCCATTAGGGACTTTCTGTTGTGTTCCCTGTCAGAGTAGTCATTGATGGTAGCTGGGCATCATCTAGTTCTTCTGGTCTCAGGCTGATGGAGTCTCAGGTTTATGCGGCCCTTTTGTCTCTTGGGCTAATATTTTCCTTGTGTCTTTGGTGATCTTCATTCTCCTTTGCTCTAAGTGGGTTGGGTCCAGTTGATACATCTTAGATGGCCACTCGCAAGAATTTAAGACCCCAAATGCCACTCACCAAAGTGGGATGCAGAACATTTTCCTAATAAACTTTGTTATGCCTATTGACCTAGATGTCCCCTGAAACCATGGTCCCCAGACCCCCCACCCCCACCCTGCCCCTGGCTACTCTGTCCCTTGAAATGTTTGGTTATGTTCAGGAAACTTCTTAGCTTTTGGTTTAGTCCAGTTGTGCTGACTTCCCCTGTTTTGTGTGTTGTCCTTCCCTTTACCTAAGATAATTCTTGTCTACTACCTAGTTAGTGAATTCCCCTCTCCCTCCCTCCTCATCATGGTAATCATCAAAGAATGTTTTCTTCTGTGTTTAAACCTTCTCTTGAGTTCTTATAATAGTGGTCTCATACAGTATTTGTCCTTTTGTAACTGACTAATTTCATTCAGCATAATGCCTTCCAGATTCATCCATGTTGTGAGATGTTTCGCAGATTCATCATTGTTCTTTATCATTGCATAGTATTCCCTTGTGTGTATATACCATAATTTGTTTATCCATTTGTCCGTTGATGGGCACCTAGGTTATGTCCATCTTTTTGCTATTGTTAACAGTACTGCAATGAACATGAGTGTGCATGTATCTATTTGTGTGATGGCTGTTATCTCCCAGCTCCAAGGACATAGCCTTTTCCTAAGGCGAGCATTTTGATCTCAGAAGGAGGACCGCGGCAATGTAAACGTTCCCTGCGGGAAGCATCCTTATATTACATGCTAGGGCCAAAGCCCAGCAAAGAGTCGTACGGGTGGGTTCAGGACAGTCATGTTTAAACGCAAACAAATGTATTGCTTCAAAAAACATGGTCAGCAGGACAGAGAGTGCACACATAAAGGACATGAGATGCATGGATGGGCTCTTTCACAACTTCAGCGACGTAGCCGGGCACACACGCGTTAAGGGGACTGCTCGTGTCGAGTGAATCGGTCTGTGTTTTGTGTCTTTCCAGCACGAGCAGGAAGCTGGTACCAGCTTTGGGAGCTTTGGGCTCCAGACAGAAGCACAGCCTGCCTGACTTGCCGTATGATTATGGCGCCCTGGAGCCGTACATTAACGCTCAAATCATGCAGCTGCACCACAACAAACACCACGCCGCTTACGTGAACAACTTAAACATCGCTGAGGAGAAGTATAAAGAGGCGCTGGCAAAGGGTATGTGTGATCCTGCTTAACAGATGAGAAACTGTTGTTATTGTGTGCGTCGAGTCGGCTCCAAGTCATCGTGACCGTATATGTACAACAGAGAGAAACGCTGCCTGGTCCTAATGGAAATGAGACAGTGAGGGGTGTCGCCATACAGAACTGCCTGTGTACGGAGGTGAATCCACTCCATGTGTTTACCAGTTCTTAGTGCTTCAGGCACGAAAGTCTCTCACACTTTTTTTAAAAAATAATATGTATCATTGTAGAATTAGTGGCTTGATGGGTTTGTATGAACTTGTATTATTGCCTCAGAAAACTTAAAATCCCATGAATAAGTTTATGAGTTTTACTATTACAGTTACTAAGAACAGCTGGATTACATTTAAAAGTCCCATTTTCGTTACACATATCGCTAGCAGTGGTGAATTGTAGAGCTGTAAGAAAGCTGTAATTTATAACTACTTTTTGCATATTGTCCCTGGGTGGTGCAAAGGTTTGTGCTTGAATACTAATCTAAAGGTTGGCGGTTCAGATCCACCCAGCGGCAACAGAGAGGAAAGGCCTGGCGATCTGCTTCCATAAAGACTACGGCCAAGAAAATCTTTGAGCAGTTCTACTCTAACTAATGGGGTTGCCTTGAGTTGGAATTGACTCTATGGCAATGGGTGTAGTTTTTGTATTTTTTTGGCATTTTAGCAATTAAAATTTGTTCATATTCTGTAATGTGCTCCTGGGAAATGTTTGGTCTCTGGGGTCTCCATCTGCAAGATGGCTAAGAGTGCCTTTCCACTTGTGGCCCAGACACGGGGGTACACAGGTGCCCTTGTGTGCCAGCATAACTCTTTGTGGCCTCCCAAGTAGGGTTCCTCACCAATCCCCCCCCACGAAAGTGGGAGAATGGGGCTCTGCTGTCCACGACCAGAGTTTGTCTTTCTGAGCCACGCTGCCTGGACAAGAGGTGGGAGGAGGCTGACAACCTCATTGTCTCCTTTTCCAAGTCCAGTGTGGCTGCTGGGCCAGCCGTCTCAAGCAATGGCCACACTGAGCGTGGGAGACTAAAGGAGTCAACACCTTATTGACTGCCTGCCTGCCTTGTGATAGCAACTGTGGCCATTGTCCTTGTCTTGGGGACTGATGGGATGGGAATTCAGCCTAGACTCGGAGTCCGGAGCACCTGTGCTCTCCGTATATGCTGTGCAGCCCCCTGCCCTGTGAGACTTCTGTAGCCCTCTTGTCTTTCTTTCTATGGGAGAGGAAGAGGCGAGCAGTTAGCATTGTGATGTTCATTACCAAAAAGCGGTTACCTAACTGTGGACCAGTTCAGGCCCTGTAGACGGGATACATTTCTGGAATTGATCCAGGGGTCCGAGCTCACAAGGAAACCATCTTTTTTTGTGGGAAACTGAAACAGGCTTGAGTCTCTTTACTAATATTTGTAATTCAATTGAAATGTAATATGGAGTTATTTTTTTTAAAAGTGCTCAACTGACATATCCCGTAGTGTGTGGAGTTTTTGTGTTTGGGGGCATGTATGGGAATACTATGTTTTAATGTTTCTATACTGAACTGTATTGTGTTCCTCAGTCTACTAATCAGTGGCTTGCACAAGGAACAGAATCATGACAGTCATGTTCCGGAGAGCATGTACAGCTTGATAAACTACCCAGTTCAGAAATATAGTCCTCAGTATGTTTTTAGGAAATCCCAGACTTCGAACGTTGAGTGATTCACAGACCAAGCTGTCCTGTGGACTGCTGCCATCTAGTGGGAGAACGGAGTAGTTCAGCGGGAAGAGGAAGTTGCCACATTTTGGAAGATTTGCTTGTGACAATCAGGAACCCTGAATAAGGGAAAAGGTCCCATGATTTAGGAAATGACCAATGTGTGAAGGATGTGGAAGTGTTGTTGGGGAGGCTGGGGGAACAGCACAATTGTGAAAGTTTTTCCTACACAGCAACATCTGATGCCCAGGAACCTTCTCAGTGTTTCAAAAACAGCTTGATTTCAGCTCTTTTCATGTAGCATCAAAGCTTTACTTGTTTAGTGAAAGCTACTGGAAAAAAAGCATTACGTTATTGTAGTATATTGTCTATAAGTTAATAAGGACCTACAGAGTTTTCTTTTATTTAAAAAAATGTATTTTAAAAATTACTAAAAAGTTAAATTTTAAGCTTGAAAATTTGGGAAGAGTATAAATAAAATAATATCATCCCTAATGTCATCATATGTAACAGACTAACAAATAATTCTTTTTTTTTTTTAAATTGAACTTTACGTGAAGGTTTACAGACAGACTAGCTTCTCATTGAACAGTACGTACATTGTTTTACGGCATTGGTTAACACCCACATGACATGTCAGTACTCTCCCTTCTCGACCTTGGGTTCCCTATTACCAGCTTTCCCGTCCCCTCTTGCCTTCTAGTCCTTGCCCCTGGGCTGTTGTGCCCCTTTAGTCTCCTTTGGTCCTATGGGTCTGTCTAGTCTTTGGCTAAAATGTGAACCTCTGGAGTGACTTCATTACTGGGCTAAAAAGGTGTCCGGGGACCATACTCTTGGGGTTTCTCCAGTCTCTGTCAGGCCAGTAAGTCTGGTCTTTTTTTTTTTTTGACTTAGAATTTTGTTCTACATTTTTCTCCAGCTCTGTCTGGGACCCTTTATTGTGATCCCTGTCAGAGCAGTCAGTGGTGCTAGCCGGGCACCATCTAGCTGTACTGGACTCAGTCTGGTGGAGGCCATAGTAGTGTGGTCCATTAGTTCTTTGGACTAATCTTTCCCTTGTGTCTTTAGTTTTCTTCATTTTCCCTTGCTTCCGAAGGGGTGAGACCAGTAGAGTATCTTAGATGGCCCCTCACAGGCTTTTTTTTTTTTTTTAATATTTTATTGTACTTCAGGTGAAGGCTTACAGA